TTCTAACCAGTGTACATCTCAGGCAGAGGATTCATGGCTTCTCTCTGACTCTGTTTCCTTCCTCCCAAAAGTCAGTTCTGTCTTCCCCACCTACCTAAGTTCTGCCCTATCAACTAGGCCAAGGCAGTTTCTTTATTCATTAACCAATGATAGCAACACACAAACAGAAGTAACTCCTACACCACTTAAGCTATTGGCCAGTGTTGTAATTAATATAGTTTCTGTGTGATTATTTATGCCTGTGCAGGCGGGAAACTAAAGTGTGGTGTCTGTTTACACACACACTCAGAAAATACATTTCAAACACTTCTGTCATTCATGTTCTGAGTCAGACCCCACAAATCAGACTTCCCAGTCATGTGAATAACTATATTGATGCAGTTTTCAAATAAGTAAGGAGTTCATTGCTGAATCTCAAAAATGGATGGGCATCAGAGGCTATGCATTCATCTCTTAGGTCTGCTAGAATTTGAAGACAAAATGTACTGTGTGCTGACCCAGGTAAGATTCTTCTGGATGACCTAAGTAATAATGATATATTGAGTTTTTTTATTTAAAAAATAAACAAACTATGGGTATGAGAGATGACTCAGTGATTAAGTACTTTGGATAGTCTTCCAGAAGGTCCACATTCAATTACCAACCCAGTATGGTATTCACAATCACCTGTAATTTCAGTTCCAGTGAGTCTGACACCTCTTTTGGCCTCCAGGGGCAACCAGCAGGTTCATGATGCACTCATGTATATTCAGACGAAACCATACCCATATGCATATAAAAATAATAAAAATTTAAATAAAAATAAAGTCAATCAAATAAAAATCTGTATTTCTCATGAACTAAATCAGGAGATCTAAAGCTAATTGTGTGTTCTTGTGTGTAAATTTTATTTGTTTGAAACTGATATTAAAAATAGCTTTCTGAAAGAGTCATCCATACACAAGTAAAAAGATGGTTAAAAATATATGTAAAATAATATATGCTTATATAAAAAGCAAGTAAGGCTTCTTGTCAGTAATCTTAATTTATACTCTAAAAAATAAATGCAGCACAAAGTCACCTCCAGAAAGCAGAAGTCAGAAAGTAAGAAGGATAAGACAAAAATCTGAAAAACTTTAAATCATAGATACATTAGAAAAAAACTCAATGAAGTAGTAAACAACACAATAAGGACATTGGTTTCTTTACCACAGGAGCTCTCTGTCCTCACTCCAAAATCAATGGACAAGGAGTATTTTTCAGTGATGCACAAGTCAATAAAGGTGCTGCACCAAATGAAGAGAATGAGGGCAAAGGTTTCATGCTCCCTTCAACAAATGCAGAAAAAGGAATCAAAGCTCAACATACTTTTTGATAGAAATATGTCAATAAACTAGGTATGGGAAGAATGTCCTTATACACATGGGGACACACACAGATGTACACTACAACACATCTAACTTCACAGTTAACAGTGAGAAGTTGAACTCAGGAAGGTACCTACTTTCACAATCTGTATTCAATATAGCAGTAGAAATACTAGCTTATTGGGCAAGAACAAGAAATAATATGCATCTACATGGAAATGTACAGGGTGAGAAATCTCTCCTTGCACATGACAGGATGGCATATTTAGAAAACCCTCATGAGTTCAATAACGTGATATTAAAAGTCACATATCGAGTATATATTGGAAGAATAAAAGTACCAACAGATAAAAAAAATCAGTTATATTTACATACATTAAAAACATGTGATCTAAACCTGCAGACTTTCTGTGATCTCTACTGAAATCCTGAGTATTCTCCATAAGAGAGAGGCAAGTTCATACAGAAATACAGAAGCCTGCAGACATTCAATTTATTTATTAATTTTCAGATTTATGTATTTTCTTGTGTGTATATATGAATGGTTTTTTATATGTATGACTGTGTACTTCAGTGTTGGGGATAACTGTGAGCTACCACGTGGGTGCTGGGATTTGAACTCTGGTCCTCTGACAGTACATGAGTCTCTTAGCTGGCAATGAACTACCTCAGCCATATTGAAAGCCTGAGAGAGGTAGAGTCAGCATCTAGCACTACTAAGACAAAGCTGCTTACCATTTTAAAAGTGCTGCTGGTCAGAAAATTATTAAAGCACTGCTGGTTAGAAAATTACTACAGATATGCAATAAAGACATATTCAAATAAAAAAGACCTCTAAATTGGTAACAGTCTTGGAAAAATATATGTAGAGTTGAAAAAGAAAGGGGAAAAAGAATATAGACAGTTATAATATAAAAGAGTACAGACAATCATAGATTAAAGGAGTAAAGATAATAAAATAAATATTAAACTTGTAGAAAAGGTAATAGAGTAAGAAAAAGAAGGCACTTAAAGATGGAATATACACAGAGAGTCTGGATTATTATTGTGTTTTCTTTGAAATTTTTGACTATGAATGAACCAAGTACAGAGAGACAATTTATTGTAAGGGCTATTAAGTTAAAATAACACATATATTTTAAAGGTGTCTTGACTTCAAAATTTGAGTCTAAGGATATGTCATTTTCAAAAAGAGGTTCCACAGAGGATAGAAAGCTATGGATTCCTTACCAGCTAATAGGGTTTTATTAAAAGAACCCCCCCCCCAAAGAAATGGCTCAGATGGTCCCATGACAGCTACAGGACTGCTGGCTGAGATGGACCTACCATACAGGATACTCCATGAAAGACCTGATTAATAGAGCCTCCAAATAGCAGGAAGTAGTCTAGAGAACAATGCAGAAGTTCTCTAAATGATTGTTTATAAATGCTTGTTTACATTTAAAGGGGGATATGCTATAGAGAGGAATACTTTGTATTGGTACAGATCTTGGTTTATTGATACAAATTTAATTGCTATATGTATATTTCAGCTCTTGATTAAGGTATTGTGTTTTTGTAGCTCACTTAAAAATATAATATATAATTAAGAAATATATGTTAATAGGTAGTCATCTATAGTAGTCAAACTGTAGTTGTGTTAGTTAGTTAGGTTTTCTAGAAGTACAGAGATATATTTCAGATGAATAGGTATTCTTCAAACCCTTCAAAGACTAACATAATAGCATTTAAAATATTTTAAGATCTTAGACTTTTCTTGACAATGAGACACATCTGTTCCTGGCAGCACCAATCTACTTCAAAAGGATGGTGGGCATTGAAAGGATGTTTCTGGAGTTTGTTAGCCATTTGGGCAAGAAACTGCTCTTGCCTGTTCTGCTTGATGGTATAATGTATGAACCGGACATTTGCCTTGGTCATGGTGTTTCATCACTGCAATAGAAAGCCTAATTAAGACACAAGACAACTGAGTTCCAGCCCCAGAACCCACTGGGGGCGGGGTGGGGGAATTAGGTCTCACTGAAAGAGGAAACAGATCTGCGAAAGGCTCAAAAAACAGAGCAGTGGAGATTCAGTGGACAGAGCATCTTAACTCTGGACAGATGGATCCACAGTGGCTGGCCTTGTAGTTGACTGCAGCTGGACTTGTGAGAGCTTGACAGGGTCCAATGCAGACAGATTCTAGTGGCCTTTTGTCCTGAGGGAGGATGTTAACATAGATACAATCTCCCATATTAGTGTGAAGAGGTGACTAAGAAGGCTTGTTTGTCTGGGAACTCCAGATGCCCTTGATTGTCACTGTGATAAAACATGAGACAGATACTGAGTCTCAGGATCTAGTGAAAGTCCATGTCAAAGGAGGGCTGCAGACCCAAAAAGTGTAATATGTTTGAGGGTGGGCAAAATTACAGTCTTGATTGTGAGCTTAGGAATATTGTCTAAGTATTAGATAATATGATAGGGAAAAGAAAAGAGGGTCTCAGGGAGGGAAAGGGGGCAGTAGAGGAAAAGGCAGGAGGAAGGTAAAGGGGAATATCAGCATAAATACAATTGAGCAGACAGGATAATATGGAAAATGAGGTTTCCTTAGGGAAGGTGGAGGGAGATAAATACTAGAGAAAGAGGACGCGAGGGAAAATAACAGCATGACGGCTGGAAAAGCCACAAGGAGTCTTACTATTAACTATTTACCTAAAAAAATAACAAATGTAAATCAGTAAATAACTATATGTTATTTATGTAAATGTAAATAGCCATACATACATACATACATACTTTTAATGAACTTATTTTTCATGGGGGTTGATGGCACTCCCTTCAAGAGACTACCTAACAAAATCCCAATACTAGGCCCTCTTTTGGGTTCTTGGTCAGGGCTGCTAAAAACTCCCATAGCATGCTGCCTATTTCTGTTGCCCTTCTCTATACAACAGAGGTGGAAGGTAAGTCCCTATTTCTGAAGACACCATGCACTTTAGAAACAGGGTCCAGAGGCTGCTGAGCTAGAACGGACCTAAACTCACCTCCCTGGGGGACTACCTTTCATTGTTCTGAAAGGTACCATGCAAGCTTCCAAAAAAGGGAGGCATCCAACAGTCCCCATCAATTGATGCCTATGGACGACATCAATGAACAGCATGCCACAGTAACCCTTATAGGTACAGAACTGGCACACATACCTTGGTGGTAACCAGCAGCTCTGCCACTAAACTTAAGACCTGCTCAGCAAGAGGGACATCATGCCTGGTACTGAGAACCTAGCTAACTAATCAGTGCTAAACTCATGGTTATTGGAGGAGAATCCACGACCACTAATTTACTAAACCAGCATAATCTCTAACAACAGTCTCTAAACACTTGTCCTTAAACACATGGGTAAATATATTCTCAGAAAAGACTCCAAGTTCCTGGGAGCATTCTGTTGTCAGGCCACATGACTAAAGTAACTTCCAATAGTACACAGCTCCAGCTACCAAGTCTCCCATATGATGGAGCAGCTGTTGATTGCCTGGGTGGGAGCAGGAGATTTTGGAGCCTGGGGATTGGACAACAACGGTTATACTGCACCACTCAGATCATAGTCTCTGCCTCCCTGGGGGAGGAACCACAGTGGTCAGTTCAAACCTAGAAATGCCTAAGGTGTCAATTGTCAGCCCTTCATAAATCCTCGTGTGGAGTGCTCTGCAAAGCGACACTGCCACTGCCTTTCTTTGCAGCTCCGGTTACTAAACCTTTTGCTCAGGGTATGGCAAAGAATGCAGCCGCCCAGCACTGTCTTTCCACCCTAGCTGTGTGCTTTTCGGTTCTACTGATCTGTCTGTGGTCAATGCTGCCCGCTGGTGAGTTGCTATAATCTAGCTTGAGGGGCGTGGGTAGTGTGTGTGTATTGGGGGAGGGGGGACAGGCTATTGAATCATGCGGTAGCCTTCTTCCTGGGCCCTCTGGAATGCCGCACTGCTCGGTAGTACATGACCCTCACCCCACCCTACCATGCTCAGGGGAGGAGCTAGAGAGCTACTGGCTGGCCGGAATGAGAAGGGCAAGGTGCCAGAGGGGAATCACTGGTGACGCCATCAGTATTCAGCCATACTGGGGTCCACAGGAAGGACTAGGGTGATGGGCACAGTGCCAGACTTCATCAACAGACTCGGACAGCTCCCGTGGACTTAAGGCAATAGATACTCTGAAGATAATCTTCCAGGGGGATTCCTCACAAGCTCTCCACCACCCCTGAACCTCTTTGCCATCAAACTTCTTTTCCGACCTTCCCAAGGTATTTTTTCCAGCAAATCACATTAGATGTTTCCAAGGCAGGCCGTCCCAACCCCAAAGTTTCTCACTTGCTTTCACTTTTGTTTTTGCTGTTGCTTTGGTGTATGGATTTCATACCATAGCTCATACTTTATAATTTTAAGTATTCAGTGTTTAGTGTGACCCCAGCAGTCGGCAACAAGCTGATGATAAATGGGACAGCAGATTTGGCCTCTGTCCCCAGATTAGGAGTAAACCCCATGCAACAGTCTTGGTGCCCATCCCCGAGAATGCTTTTAAATGGACGGTGCAAGCTGCATGTTTACCAGTCAGCTGTGGGTTCTATGCTACCTGCAATCTAGGCCATCTAGAAATGACAGAAGGGGATCCTATGGGATTCTTTGGATCTCATGGCCAAAGAGGCTTGTGGTGCTTTCTGTGGGAGCATTGCAACTTACTTGAGAATTTACATCAGTTACTTTATCTATATGAGATAAAATTTCCACGACCATCTGGGGAACAGGAAATGGTCTGTCAGATATGTCCTTATCTCTCCCCTGTTAGGCAGCTCTCCACACACAAGTGACTTGTTGGGACATCCTGTCTGACTGTGACCTGACCACTTAAAAACCTATTGGGAAAGAGCTCACCTCATGATGTCTGCCTGAGGCCTGATGGGTCTTCTGATAGCCCAGGTCCACAGGCTGCTCTCTCCCAGGGCCCAGGACCATGCCAGGAGGCACAGTGAAATGGAGTGTATTTTCCCTGCTGCAGGTGGGTCAGGCTGACTTCTGCCCTAGCAAGATGGATTCTCCAATTAGACACTGCCATGAACCCTCCCTTCCCCAGGTCTGTTTCCTAGAACTGACACCTCAGGCTGACAGATTGTCCTGGGACAGACAGCCCTAGGGGCAGGTCCATGCTCTTCATGGGTGTATTGTCTCTGCTGCTTTCAAACTCCATGAGCAGAGTTGGGCAGGTGTACCAGGAAGGTCTGTCCTATAAAGACTTAAGTATTTACAAAGTAGTGGTGTTAGTCACTTCTCTGTACTGTGATAAACACCAAGGCCACACTAACCAACTGAAGGAAGGGTTTGGGGAAGATTTTGGTGTCAGAGAAACAAGGATTTATCTCACACCAGACAAGCATGGCAGCAGGAAATTATGGTGACTGGAGCAGCAAACTTACAGCCCACATATTTTTTTGGTTTGATAAGATTTAGTTGGGTTTCTGAAATAAGGTCTCACTATATATCTCCGGCTACCATACAACTCACTATATGAAACAGGCTGACCTTCCACTTAGAAAGATCTGCCTTCCTCTGCCTCTCAAATGCTGACATGAGAGCCATGCGACACCAGGGCTAGCTCAGAACACACATCTTAAACCTCAAGCAAGGGCCAGAGATGAAGAAATCAGAATGATTTTTAAATCCACATCCTCAGTGACATACTTCCTTAAGCCAGGCCTTACCACCTGAACCTAGTCAAACAGCTGCCACCAACTGCGGTTCCAAGTATTCAAACATCCTGCTCTACAGAGGACAGGTTCATTCAAATAACCACACTAGATACTCACAGGAGCATCCGGGAGTTCATACCTGAGTAATGAAGTAATACAGAAAGAATACCTGCACTTGATAAAGGCCTGAATGGTCACTCTCATGGGATCTGATCTGTCCCCCAGGAAGGCAATCTGAATCTATCTTTGAGGTAGTTTAGTTTTAATTGTTTTTAAGATTTATTTTGTTTTGACTGCATGTATGTATGTGCACACATATGTTCCTGATGCATTTGGAGGGCAAAAGAGGACATTTGATCCCCTGGAACTCAAGTTACAGGCAGTGGTGAGTCACCATGTGTGGTTGCTGAGAATCAAACCTGTATCAGCTACAAGAACAAGTGCCCTTGACCACTTCCCCAATGGTTCAGTTTAGACAATGGGCACAGGAGTCGGGGTTTTCATGGAACAGCAGCTTTCAGCATCTTGATCATCTATTTTGTCTTTAATTATTAAAACCCAGCCATATCTGGGTTTGGTAACCATCTCTGTATATTTAGAAGTTTTGTGTTCTGTTAGCCATGATTCCCTTAAGCAGTTAGGCTTCAAGGTGGGTCATCAATGGACCACTGTCCTTGTTGTTACTGCCACATGACCATTCTAGCTGATGGGATTTTGTGTGTATGTGTGTAGTGATATGAGCGGCAGGGCTACGTTCCAGCAGCCCTGGCTCCCACATGGCAGGCTTATGTCCCGAAATAATTACACGGAAACTGTATTCTTTTAAACACTACCTGGCCCATTAGTTCCAGTTTCTTATTGGCTAGCTCTTACATATTAATCTAACCCATTTCTAATAATCTGTGTAGCTCCACGAGCTGGCTTACCAGGAAAGATCTTAACCTGCATCTGTCTGGAGTGGGAGAATCATGGCGACTCCTGACTCAGCTTCTTTCTCCCAGCATCCTGTTCTGTTTTCTCCGCCTACCTAAGGGTTGGCCTATCAAATGGGCCTAGGCAGTTTCTTTATTAGTAAGAAACCACTCCCACATCATTTTTGTGCCATATTTACTGTGATTCGGAAATACCATTTCCTAACCCCAACCCTCGAAACATCATCACCATCCCTGAGCTTGCAGCAATGCTTGTGCCCTTCTCCCTGGTCCTTCTCACTGTGCTTCTCAGCAGGGATGCTCCAGCATCCACAGACAGCATGGACTCTGCACTCTTCCCCTGGAAATGTTTGCTGTTCCATCCACTCTGGCACATGCACTTCTCTGAGATTCTTGATCCCCACTCTTCTACTGCCAGATTCAACCAGCCTAGATTTTCTGTGTTCTGTAGTGTGGGCTAGCCTCTGACCAGGTCCAGGAAGCCACCTGAGGTATCCAGGGGATCTGGCATGTATTGTTCTGGTTTCATTCTGTTGCTGTGATAAACCCTCTACCAAATGCAACTTAAGGGAGAAACATGGTCTTGCTCAGAGTTTTATTGCTGTGAAGAGACACCATGACCTTGGTACTTCTTATAAAAGAAAGCCTTTAATTGGGGCTTGCTTACAGTTTTGGAGGTTTAATTTATTATCTTCATGGTGAAGAGCATGGTGGTACCCAGTCAGATATGGTAGCTGAGAGTTCTACATCCAGATCCAAAGGCATCTGGACTTGTAATAGGCTTTCTAAAACCTCAAATTCCACCCCCAATAACACACTTCCTCCAATAATACCACACTCACTCAAACATGACCACAACCCTAATTCCTCTTAGGAAGTGACACTCCCTGATAACCAAGCATTCAAATAAAAGAGACTGTGGCAGCTATTCTTATTCAAACCACCACAACTCTTCCCTGGTGCAGTTTTCATTGCTGGGAATCTGCATATTGGGCATCTGCATATTGTTGCATATTTTAAAGTTATATCGGGCATTCGTTCTTTAAATCACCTTCATAATGCCCTGTTCCTGCTATAGCAAAACAGTTTCCTTTTACCAAACTTGTAAGTGGATTTTTCTTACTGATGTTTATTCTATATGATGCATCAAAGTGCCAAGTTTGTGAACTTTAGTTCAAAACTACAAAGCTAGTTCTCTACTCCAGAGGGCTCATGTTCATGTCCACCAGATCCTCCAGGAGGGGGCATTGAGTGAGAAAGAACCCCAGCCATTCAAGAACAAATTCAAGTCTTAAAAGTAACAGAAAGGCAAAAGGAGAAAGAGAGAGAGAGAGAGAGAGAGAGAGAGAGAGAGAGAGAGAGAGAGAGAGACTGTGTGTGGAGGGGGGAGAAGAAACAGGTGGCAGAAAACACAGAGAGAAGGAAGAGAAATCTGGTTGAAGGTGACAGGAAAGGATGTCCCCAACCTGCAGCAGCCCACCTCATAGGAGAAGTAGTTTTGGGGAGGATGGGGGGGGGAGGGACTTTTTAACATCTCTTAAATTTTTTAGTTTAATTATATTGCACACTTGTTAAAAAGATTCTTTAAAAATACTGTTTATTTTATATTTTAGTGCTCTCACACAGGACATTACACACGTACACCCTCACTAGGTCATTTGTACAATCTGCTGAAAAGAACAGCTCTAAGATATTGTGTCTTCGGTTGCTGCTAGGGAAAGTCTGGGAGGCCAGGGGCCATAAGTGTCCTGGGAAACAACTGCCTAACGAAGAGGAGAGACAATCAGGGCTTCGAGGAGGTCAGACAGAGATCTCTTCTTGAGAATGAGTTAGGGGTGTGGTTTAACAAGGGAGAATATGTCATCTGATGCCCAGCATTGTGTGAAGTGGCCCAGTGGGAACACGGGTGAGTACTGTGTTCACAGGTGACAGCTCCCCTCCCATGACAAGTTGCAACATAGTCCAGGAGGCCGTTCCTGAACTCCAGGCTTCATGTTGAATTTACCATGGGTTCTATGATACCTCCTTTCCCTGTGTAGTAATAGATTTTCAGTCTTGGGAAAGATACTATCTGACATATTTTATTCCCCAACACTTGATAAAAGTCACTAAAAGCAGTTGTGAGATACATCCCCTGGTGACACAGTGTGCATCTGAGGGTCCTAACACCCTAAGATAGCCAAAGAGGGCATGGAAATGAGGTTCCAGAAGCTGGTGGACTTCTTGACTAGAGATTTCCCTTCCTGCCCTCCTGCCCTTCAGATGGATTCTGGGTGTCATCTAGTTTCATAGAACCATGAGTCCTGCGGATTTCTGCTCCCTCTTTGGACCTCATCTCCTTGTTTCTCTCACAGATACACACTCTCTTAGTTGTGATGTCATTGTCAAGGCTCGTACCACACCTGGACAGTCCTGGTGTGAAGGGCAGTGCTCAGTGGATGGAGTGCCTTTCCTGCAGTATGATAATGACAACAAAGCCACACCTTTGGGAGACCTGGGGAAGGTGGCAGATGCCACTCCTGTGTGGACAGATTTGATGCAAAAGCTGGAATACTTGGGGCAAGAGCTCAGGAAGATGTTGGCTAACTCCATACAAGAGATGACTGAGACCAGTGGTAAGTGTGGGATCAAATACAGAGGCAGAAACAGTTGGCAAGAGAGAGGAAGGGCAGAGCACATGTGGGAATGGGATGGTGAGTGTGTCTGTGTGAGGGAGCTGAGCACTGGTCCAACCTTGGAAGCATGTGGTACCCAGTGGGTAACAAAGGACAAGTCATGTGGAAATGATCCTGGCTCATAAGCCAGTGGGAAAGTCCTGATCTTTGGAGGAGTGATGGATCTATGAGAGTAAAACATGATGGTATTGTGTGTGGTTCACAGGTCAGCCCACTTTACAGGCCACCATGCTTTCTCAGTATGAACAAGGACAAAGTGTTGGTGCCTCCTGGAGGTTTAACATCAGTGGAAAGTATTCCTTCATCTTGGACACAATGAATATGAGCTTTAAACAGATTAGTCTTGAAGCCAGATCTATCATGAATGATGAACAATTAATGAAAGACCTCAAGATAATCTCCACAGCAGACTGCAGTTACTGGCTCAAGGAACTCTTAAAGCACCAGAAGAAAAATCAAAGTATGTATTACCTAGATTATCAGGGGGCAACTCCATCACGTTTGATAGACTGGGTAGGAGATTTCCTGTCTTTCTGTCTGAGATCCAGTTATGACCATGAGGATTCCTCTATCTCATCTTACCTCCCAGTGTTTCTCATTCCCTACTAACCAGCTACAACATGGCCTACTAGTGGACCTCAAGTCTGTAATCATTCATGTAAACTTCCAGGCTATTCTTCCTCATTTATATATGTCCTTCCACCAGGTCCACATCACTTTTAAAGGTTTTGTTATCTTTCTCTGAAATAATTAAATATCACCAATTATGACAATATACAGAAACTTCTACACAAGGTAATTATGTTGCATTGTGATGGTTTAATACACTTTTGCTTTCTTTGGTAATGAAATAAACTATGCAAGGACACTGTACACACAACTCTACTCCTATCTCTCCCCAGGACTTTATAAGTAGTTATTACATATGAGTTCCTTGGGCTTCCTGGGGAAAAAAGGTGCTGACAGAGGTGTGTTTTAGCTTTATCCAGAATTTTCCTGATTTTTTTTAAAGGATCAACATCAAGGGCCACAGGTATCACCCTGCTCACATCTGCATCTGCCGCACAGCCTCCGCTTACAACCAAGCTTCAATATGAGGAAATATTTGTCCCCATAGCAGCATTCATTGCCATAATCTTACCTTTAATTGTTGGAATTGTTGTGAAACCTTATCCCCAAGGAGGTAAGGAGCAGGCTGGGGTTCTTGGTAAGGTTAGTCTTCTGAGCACATGGAACAGGTGTCCCACTGGGTACTGGGAATGTGAATTCCAGTCTTCATGCTTCCATAGCAAGGGCCTTACCCACTGAGCCATCTTCCCATGTCCAAGTACTGACCCTTTGACAGTCTGGTTACCAGTTCCACAAACTGTCTTCTGCGCAGACAGTGAGAACTGAATGAAACAAGCTCCCGAATGCCTCATGTGCATGGGCCACCACCATGACACTTGCTGTGTCTTCATTCCAGAAGCATTTGCAAAGGTGTTTTCACACAACCACTAGGACTCCCCCATTTTACTCTTTCTGTCTCTCTCCCTCCATGAAGCATGTGGTTGAATAGCTGCTGACATTTTTATTTTGATTTAAGGGGAAAGTGAGCTAGGAATGTATTCAAAGTGGCTTAGTGGGATTTATATCTGTATTCAAACTCTTTTGTATACAGTTTATACTGACAAGGAGGAACCACAAGCTGACTGTGCTGACTCACTAAATACCTCAACACAAGCATCAGCTTGAAGACACTACTCATGGAAAGTAGTATATCCCAGGAACCTGCCCAGCAGAGAGGATGCAATGAGATATAACGGTAGACAGAAATGGAAAGTACTGCCCAGAGATCAGAATCACAACTTTAAGGCTACACAGTTTCTAGCTACCATTCAGTTTGCACAAAGGAAAATTTTGTCATCTGAAGAGTCATTGACCCAGTCATTATAGTGTCCCCATCACTGTGAAAAAGTTAAACACTACAGGAGGCAAGGAACAGACAGGTCATTGGCACCTGGCAAGGCCCATTGAACTTAGGCTCAGGAAGTGACCCACATATATGGCATGAAATTCTCTCCCAGTATGTGTCCTGGGCATTGCAATGGTTCTAGAAAACTTCCCGTGTTTGGAACCTATTCACGTCACAGCAAAGGAACAAGAATGTGTGGAGTCAGTTCTAACATCTTTACTTGTTCCAGAGATTTGGCTCATGATACCATGTTTGTACCATCAGCTCTTTAGCCATGAAGCCATCTCACTGAACCTAGGACAAGGAGTGGCCACAAGTTGTGATGTGCTCTGGCACAACAGAGTGACCACAGGGACACTGCTTCACAGTACTGTCCAGTAGGAAGACACCCAGGAGATGCTTAATAAAGACGTTTCTCAACTCAGTTTACCTATTTTGTCCTCAAACATTTAAAATTCACTTTTCTTTATCTAAGGACATGGATATGCTAGTATAAGCAGTGAGGACCTAGAGGAGGAGGCATATAAAAACTTCTCAGAATATAGACTATTTGGAATTTAGAATTTATGTCTGATGGTAGTCATTTAAAGACCTACAAGATTCTGTTCTTTGCTCTATCATTTCTATTGCAATACCATATAATTTAGACAAAATTCTATTAGTGCAATTTGTTTTAAATTTCTGGTATAGTGTCTGATTAATATTGGGGCATATAGTTAGAATCCCAGCACTTGGGAAGTGGATGCAGGAGGATTGTACTAGGAGCCCGCTTGTTTGTTCCCAGCTGCTCAGCTCTGAAATAACCACACAAAACTGTATTAATTAAATTATTGCTTGGCCTTTTAGCTCTAGCTTCTTATTGGCGATCTCTTACATCTTAATTTAACCCATCTCTATTAATCTGTGTATCACCATGTGGCTGTAGCTTAGCAGCAAGGTTCCAGCTTCTCTGTTCCCAGTGGTGGCTACATGGCTTCTCACTGACTCTACCTTCTTTTTCCCATCATTCAGTTTAGTTTTCCCTGCCTACCTCTACTCTGCCCTGTGCAGGCCCAAGACAGTGATTTATTAATCAATGTTATTCACAACGTACAGAGGGGAATCCCACAACACATTCTTCTTTTATGTTTAAATAAAAAGGAAGATTTTTAACTTTAACATAATAAAATCACATATAACAAAACAGTTATTAAGCAAGAATTACAGTTACAATATTTATATCTACTTTATCTTTTATCATAACTAAGGAAAACTATAATTATAACTATAAATTCTTTAACTCCATCAAAGACTCCAGAAGGATATAATAATACCTAAGTAAACAGGAAGTACATTGTAAGCAACTTCGAAAACTCTAGAATTGACAGAGACATATCTCGCTACCTGGACAGTCACCCAAAGTTCTTCTGTATTGTTGGGACATCCATCTTCAGTCTACAGGCCCATAGTATTCATAAAACTTTTCCATGAAGCAGGAAATTTCAATGACAGTTCCACCTATATTGGCATTTTGTCAGTCACTTTTCTCTATGTCCTGCCCAATATCTGGCAGACTCTTTCATGAAGCAAGAACTCTGAAAGACCGTCTCACCTTTACGCAAGTTCAGCAGTCATTTTTCTGTGGAGTCTGCATGTCCAATTCATATAATACAACATCAAGCAATCCAGGCAAGAGCAGTTTCTTGCCCAATTGGCTAACTTACTCCATAAGGAGCCTCTTTAATGCCCATCACCCTCTTGAAGCAGATTGGTGCAACCAGGAGCAGATGTGTCTCATGTCATTAAAAGTTCTGAGTTCATCAAACGTTTTAAATGTCATATTCTGAAGGTCTCTGAAAGATTTGAAGAATACCTTTCCAATTGAAATATATCTCTATATATCGAGAAAACCTAACTAGTATGACTACAAATGACTATTATAGAGAATAAGAAATAAAAGGCTATCTTTGATTACATAGTGAGTTTGAGGTCAGTTCAAGCTACAGAAGACCTGATCTCAAAGTAAGAAAGAGGAAGATGAGAAATTATTATTATCATTAATTATTACTATTACCATCATCATTCTCATCATCATTGTTATTGCATGGGCTTATGTCCAGATAAAATCCTTATCGTAGAAGTGCAGCAAATATTATTGTTCCTGTGTTATACTCTGTGCATTAGTAGCTATAGGTTTATGATAGTCTTTAAGACAAAAACAGAATAGACAAAGATTATTTAAGAGGTGGCACAGCAGTACGTAACTAGAATTCCAATACTCAAGAGGGTTGGGAAAAAGTATTACCAATCTCAAGGCCACCCTGGAATACATGGTGAGATCCTGACAGCCAATTAATCAAAAAAATAAAACCCTAGTCTAATTTGATCAATGTCCTTTGCTAGACCTTTGTGCACAGAGAACTACGAAGCTAATATTTGTGTCCTTTGGAACTGAAATGACCTGTTTACTAAAGAAAAGTGAAGCTCATTCTCAGCACTGTCATGGTTAGATTTTGTCATATGCAGTCTAGAGCGAGCACAGAGAATGGTAAAGAAGATGGCCAAGACTCTTACTTTCTATTATTTCAAAAATTCACTACAATCATGCTTAGTAAAAAAAAAAAATTACCTCTATTATCAGTCAATACAAAGTTCTGTGTTTTTGAGTAGGTATAATTATTTCAAGATAACATTTTTATAGCGCTGTGAACTCAGGGTATGGTTGCACACACGTGTAATCACAGAACTTGAGAAGCTGAGGTAAGAGCCCGGGGTACACAGGAAGTTCCAAGCACTCTCAAGCCACAATGAAAAACCTTTTCTCAGGAGAGAAGCAAGAGAGAGACAATGAATTAAAGGAGTTCAAGGGCCATTGGGTGTACTTCCAAGATTACAGGGTAAAGAATAAACGACTTTTGATAGAAAAAAAAAAGAAAAACCTTTTCTCAAAAGAACCACAAAACACATTAAAAGTAAAGCAAAAAGCCAGCTGAACCACAAATACAGCATTTGGCTGACTCTTCACCTGTTTTGGCTTTATTCAATCTTTTTAAAAAGATATTTCAAAGTCCCATTTTAATTTGAAGGAGAAAATGGCAGAAAGGTTTGAAATAAATATATCCAAAAGGGGAATAAAATCCCTAGAAAGCTGAGTTAGAGTCTGTGAGAGGGGAGAAGTATCCGTGTGAGACGAAGTAGAGTAGGATGCAGATGTGCAGGAGCTCACTGTAACTGACACCCTCTTTTCACTAGGTGATTCTCCATGCTGCTCCTCAGCATCCTCATCTGTAATCTAATCTGAAGTCATTGTCAACAGCAGCCTCTGGTACTTCTCTTTTGCTTCGCAGCCAGAAATAAAACCATCTGATGGTATTGATCATCTGTGCCATTTCACATCTGAACAAGCATGGTGTGAAAGATTAAGGTTGACGGTCTCCATGCATTCTCTATCACTTCATCAAGGTGGAACAGGTCATTGTCACCAGCGACTACATCTTGCTTTGTTCTCTTTCACATTCTTAGACTGTATGAACTTGGGAGTATCAGGTTGTGCCCCACTCTAAGATACTCCTTTTTGTGTGAAATGATGGCTTTCAGGCTGGGTCTTGCCCAAGGTGGCTCCATTTTGCAAGCAACAAGATGATGACTGAGCATCTCCTGTGCAAATAGACATACCTTCTGTCCAGTAACAATAAGCCAAAGCCAGATAAATGTCATATGTCTAAAACTGAAAAGATGTCACTTATGGACATATCAGAATCAATTAGACACATGAGAAGGAGACTATATCAACATCATATCTGTGTTGGATAGTTTTATGTCAACTTGACACAAGCTAGAATTGACTGTAAGGAGAGAGCCTCAATTAAGTAAATGTCTCTATATGATCTAGCTATAGGGCATTTTCTTAATTAGTGGTTAATGGAAGAGGGCCCATCCCGGGCCCAGCCCAGCCCATTGTTGGCAGACCCATCTCTGGGTGAGTGGCACTGGGCTCTATAAGAAAGCAACAGAATACATCATGGTGAGTAAGTCAGTAAGCCGAACCCTTCCATGGCCTGTGCATCAACTCCTGTATCCATGTTCTTGCCCTCTTTCAGTTTCTATTCTAGTTTCCTTCGCTGAAGGGCTATAATATTAAAGTGCAAACCAAATAAACTCTTTCCTCTGCACCATGTTTTCGGTCACGGTGTTTATTCACAGCAATAGACAACTCTAAATCGGACAACATCTGGAAAAATCAGACCTGAGATATTTTTAAATATCCCAAACTGAAGGAGGATCAACACCCTCACCTGAACCCACAAAAAGAGCACACTTGTAACAGGTTTTGGGTCCACCAACCAGCTCCCATATTATGACACAGAGACTTGCTTTTAGTTATGAGTAATTTACATTATCTTATGCCTGTTTCTTGCTAGCCTTATAACTTAAAACACCTTGTTTCTCTTCATCTCTATTCTGCCTTGGTGCTTTTTACCTTTCTCTCTTCCTTCTTTCTTTCCTTCCTTCCTTTCTTCCTTCCTTCCTTCCTTCCTTCCTTCCTTCCTTCCTTCCTTCTTTCCCTCCTCCCCGTCTCTCTTTCTTCCTGTATATCTTTTTTTGCTTTTTTTCTCCATATCTGCTTAGCTGGTGGTTGCCTGGCTTCTGACCATCTGCAAGTCCCTCTCTTTTTCCCTTATCTTCTCTCCTCTTCTCTGAACCTTAATTTCTCCTCCTAGTTATTCTCTCTGATTACCATCCCGCTAATCCCCCTTCTGCCAAGCTATTGGATAGTCAACTTTTTATTAGACTAGTAAGTTGCCTTAGGCAGGCAAGGTGAAATAACAACACATTTTTACACAATTAAACCAATGCAGCATAAGCAAATGTAACACATGTTCACATATTTAAGGTAATATTTCCCAACATAAATAAATGTAACACATCTTTATGTAGTTAAAATAATATTCCACAATACAACCTAACACAATGCTGATGCTCACCACCAACCTCACCACAGACTCCCATGCTGTATCAAGAGACAAACAAGGAGAGAACTGATTGTCCCCTGTGCTTCAGCTCAGTGCTATCACGTGCTTCTGTTCCTACCCATGTAGTCCAGTCATCCTGACTTTGTCCCTCCCCTCCCTACCCCTCCCCATCCCATGGTCCTGACTTCACCCCCTGCAGCTCCACTCAACCCTGAACCTGGCTAAGCCCTGTTAGTCTGCAGCTCTCCAGCTGGCTCCTTAATATCTTCTCTGGACAACTGCATCTGAACCAATCTCTACCTCTGTGCTGAGTGCAGCTTCTATGTGTAGATTCCTTAATCTTTCTATAGCCATTTCATGACCTACACACATCACATCACATACATGGATACACACACAAATGACATACATGCATACACAAGATATATATATATATATTTGTATGTATACCTTCTTCAGTCATTCCCTAACCTGCACACACACATCACATACATGTGTATTGTGTGATATGTAATATAAGATCTGAGAGTTAAAATTCATGATAAATATTGGCATAAAAGAAGCCATATTGGCCAGTGGCCACTTATCAAAAATAATTGGAATTCCTTGGTAAATTGTAGCCAAAGAAACTGATGTAGGATTATGGATTTATTACTATTCAATAAATACTAATATTGTAGAAAGATAATATTGTAGAAAGATGCATGTTTATGGCAGGATTCCCATTTATTGAACAAATCCAATGAGTAAACAGGCCTTTAACAAAATAATCAGAAATACACAATTTTTTTTTCTCTCAAGTTAAACCACTTAGTGATGTAAATAAAATTCATCAGCCTTGTCAGAGACTCATGAACAGACACTAAGCTTGCTCTGCTGACACGGGGCTTACCGCAAACCGTTGTGTAATCTTACAGTATTCAGGTAACCCATGGCTAGAATGAGGGGAGCCTCCAGGTAGATAAAGAGTCAAAGGTAAGAGGACTGGGCAGGCACATGGCCTCATCTGAGAAGGGTCCCAATTCATAAGGAATTGTTTAGGGAAATTAAGTAGGAAACAAAGCAGAAAAATAGGAAGAAAAAAAAAGCAAAGCTCAGATCACGTCCATATAGCCCAGCTTTTATGAACAGGTCTCTGCTGTTTATTCATTACTCCTAACCCAAGTCTGGTCGTCCCCGAAGCCATGTATGTCCAGAGATGCATGGCAGTTTTAAGAATGCCCATTGCTGTAAGTGCTATTAAAATGCCAGCAGAGCACAGTGAGGATGTTAGTATCTAGGCACACCCTGGCCCTACCCCTTGGGAAGCTGGCACCCCTCTATGTATGGCACGTAGTTCCCCAACTGTAGGCTGGTGCCAAGATCCCTTTAAGAGACAAGTTCTGCCCCCTCCTGATCTCTCTTGCTCTTTGTCTCTCTCTGTCTGTCTCTCTCTCTCTTCCCCTCCTGTCTTCTGAAGAAGCAGGTCTCTGCCTCTCTATCCCCCTCTCCCTTCTCCTTCTTTTCTCTTTCTCTCTCTCTCTCTCTCTCTCTCTCTCTCTCTCTCTCTCTCTCTCTCTCTCTCGTCTTCCCCTTCCCTCCCTCATCCTACCCTCCCCAAATCCTCTTCTCAGTAAGCTCCACACTCAAGCTCTCCCCGCATGGCGTGTCCTGTCACCTGCCGTAGTCCTCAACTGACCGCCAAGGATCCAGCTGGCTCAGTATCTTAACAGAAGACTCTTTTTCTTGCCTGATGCTCTCTAGTCTAAAAGCCTGTCTTGTGTGACTTTATCCACCTTCCAGGGACCACACAAGTTCAAAGGCAGTTGGAGATCTCTTTGACAGCAGAAAAAGACTTCAATTCAATTCAGTAGCTGAACCAACTTTGGGACTGTTAGGGCTTCTGTTGCTGTGACTACCATGACTAGAGCAACCCTTAAAGAGGATAACATTTAATTGACCCACAGTTTCAGAGGATTCATCAATTATCATCATGGCATGGCAACTTGCAGGCAGTTGGTGTTGGAGAAGAACTGAGATTTCTACATCTTGATCCACAGACAGCAGGAAAAAACCGAGTCGCACATACCCAATTGACCCTCTAAGAACTTGCCTGATAATCAGTGAAGAGCTAAGCCAGGGAGTGGTGGCACACATCTTTAATCCCAGACAGAGGCAGATGGATCTCTATTAGTTCAAGGCCACCCTGGGCTGCACAACTTTGAATCTGTTTAAAACAGAGCTTACACAAAGTTGATTCCAGCACTTGGGATCACACTCCTTTAATCCCAGCACTAGGGAGGTGGAGACAGGAGTGACATGTCTGGGTGGAGCGAGGGATATAAGGCAGAAGGAGACAGGAGATCAGGCAGTCTGGGGTTTGCTGGAGACAGTTGCAGTCTGCAGATTGCCCCAGCAGTCTGAGGATGAAATCTGAGGAGGCAGTCTGTGGACAGGATTGCTCCTTCTGTCTGAGCACTGATACAGGGGAAAGGTATCTCTCATGGCTGGCCACACTGCTTCTCTGATCTCTCAGCTTTCTCCCCCTTAATATCTGATTCTTGGTTATTATTAATAGCAATTAGAATCCATGCTACAAATAACTCAAAATCCACCTCCAACACACTTCCTCTAACAAGGGCATATCTTTTCCAACAAAGTCATGTCTCATAATAATGCTATTCCCTATCGGTCAAGCATTCAAACACATGCGTCTATTTAAACCATACCTATTTAAACCACCACAGTCATGGTTCAGATGGATCTTTCTATTCTATCTCTCTCTGCCTGGAAGACAGGAATACAGCAGACAGAGAGAAAACACACATGCCTGAAGCTAACATGAATGTTTCTTGACACGTGACTTGGCTGCCTGCTGTGTAATATTTATTTTAAGATGTGTTACATTTGTTTATGCCATGAAGTATTTGTTTAATGATACAAAGACGAGTTGCATCCTTTTATGTTGCATTTGTTTACTCCATGATGCTGTGTTATTGTCCCCGTCTAAAATACCTGATTGGTGTAATAAAGAGCAAAACGGCCAATAGTGAGGCAGGAGAAGGGATAGGCAGGGCTGGCAGGCAGTGAGAACAAAGAGGAGAGGAAATCTGGGAAGAAAAGATCACTCAATGAGGAAAGGAGGAGACGAGGAAACAAAGGGACAGCCACCCAGCTGCACAGCAAACCAAAGAGTAAGAAGTAAAAAAAAAAAAAAAAAAAAAAAAGATATTGATAAATAAGAAAGATAAAAACTCAGACACAAAAGGTAGAGGGGATAATTTAAGTTAAGTAAAGCTGTCTAGAAATAAGCCGAGCTATGGCCGGGAACTCATAAGTAAGACTACGTTTCCATGTGATTTATTTGGGAGCTGGGTAACAGGCCCCCTAAAGAGCCAAAAAGAAAAACAAAACAAAACAAAACAAAGCAAAACAAACAACAACAACAAAAACACCTGCCAATAGAAAAGATGTGTGCTGTCATTCTGGAGGTGGCATGAGACTTCAAACTCGTTGTCTCAGACTGAGTAGCAGGCACCGTGGTTGGAAGACAGAAATTTGAGTGTCTCTAGGTGGCTGCCTGGATCCTCACCCTGTCCTGCTGTGCTAGATGTAGCAGCAGCTGTGTTAGGAGGGACCTGTGAAGTCTCTAAGGACACGACACTCCTGAGCACTGGGATGTGCCATGTGCAGTTCAGCCTTGGACCCCGAGTCCAGGTTTGAACTCTCAGTCCTCACTGCTGACTCCACGGGACCTGTTCTCAGTCAAGACCTTCAAGTGAAGCCAGACTCCTAAAGACCCGAGTAAGAGCAGAGTCTAAAGAACTGCAGAAATAGGAGTCTGCAGGGAAAGGGAAGGGGTTAGGAAAGTCCCAGCTGAGCAACCTGAGACACAAATGGGGAAGTCACCCCCCAAAGAACAGCAGAGATGTTAGCCCACCCCTCCTGATTCACATCCTGTGTTCTTCAACTCCACTGCAGGCTGCGGGCAAGAATGACGTCAGCTATACCAGAAGCTTTTTTTGTAGGATGTCAACAACCATCCCTCTGCGATGTCTGTTACATCCTACCCTAAAGCTTGTGGAGTCCTTTGGTGGGGGTATATTGAAGGTAAGGGAGAGGGGGCACTGGAAACTCAGGTAGTATGGGGAAAGACAGGGTCTCTGTTCTGCAAGCTCTTTATTAGATGGGCAAAGTAACAGAGCTTCAGAGAGTTAAACAAATGCAACATAAAAGAATGCAACAGTGCGGAGGGATAGCTGAGTCATAGGGCGCTTGTCCTGCAGGCATCAAGACCAGAGTTTGAGCCCTAGGACCTAAGCTGTAGAGGGAGGGGTGGTAGAGCATGCTGGCCACCTCAGAAGTGCTGCAGTAGAGACGAGTGGATTCTTGAGACTCACAGGTGAGCCAGCCTAGCCTTCCTACTTGGTAATCCCTGAGTCAGTGAACTCCCCAAACAAAAGATAGAAACCAGCTAGAGAACTAGAACCTTGATAGCTCTCTGGCATCCTGTGCACAGACACAAGCACAGAGTTTGTGGGCACTACCCCTGTCCATGAGCACCCAGCCCTGCCTTCACCACCCACACAGGGAAATAAGCAGAAGTACCAAGTGTTCACAGTTTCGCAATTTCCGCCTGCTACTGGTAGTGTTTTCTATGAAAGTGATCTTCGCTATTGTTTGGTTTTTAAGAAAGTTTCTCACCATGTAACTCTGCCTGGCCTTTAAGTCAACAGAGATCTGCTGCCCACTTCTGCTTCCCAAGGACTGGGATGAAAGGCAGGTGCCACTATGAGCAGCTAAAAAGTTGCTTTTCAAAATCCCAGCAATGTAAGCACGAGGACCTGAATTTCATTCTCTAGAACAAACACAAAACCTCCAGAAGAGATGGTTTGTGCCTGTAATCCTGGACATAGGATGATCTTGGTCTTGGAGGCTGGCCAGTTTAGCCAAATCCATAACTTCCCAACTTCAGAGGGAGACCCCGCCTCAAAAAACTAGGTGTACCCCAAGGCCTCTGGAAACTCAGTAGTGACTTCACGCTTTCCTATGCAAGACCACGGGGGCCACAGAATTGACGAGAAAAGCACAGCCTGCAGTTAGGAGAGCCAAAAACCCTGATTTCAGAGGGGAACAAACCTGTTACGTGTTTTAAAGGATATACAGAAAGGAAAGTCCAGAGGGGTGTGGTGGCCATTTTCTGTCCGCTTGGCTATATCTGGAATGAACAATTCAGAAATGGAGGGCACACCTGTAAGAGATGTTTTGCTTGGTTTCAGGTGGGTGAATCAGGACCTGTGAAACGGGAAGCGACATGCCTTTAATTCGGTTCCTGAGGCACGAAGACTCACCTTTCTCTGGGATCTACCTTATGCTGGATATTTATAGAAGGACATAGAAGAGGAAGCTTTGGCTCTTTGCCTGCTCGCCCTCGCCTTGCCAGCACATCAGTTTCTTCACTGGCACTAGAGCCTGGTTCTACAGGAATCCAGCACACACTGAAAACCAGCTGAGGCATCCAGCCTTGGGAACTGAGCAACTGCTGGGTTCTAGGACTTAGCATTCACAGCCAGCCATTGTTGGATTAGCTGAATAAATCTTCTTTTCCAAAAATCTCCTTTATATAGAGAGATTCATTCTCTAACTTCTGTTTCTCTAGAGAACCCTGACTAATATAAGGAGTCTGAAAGAGGAGCTGCAGTTAGGGAGAGAGAGGAGATGGGGGCAGGGAGGGGGCAGGAAGATGGATTTCTGCAGCCAGAGAGAAGTAGAAAGGATTCCTAGGCCAGAGGCAAGAGACATGAACATGGGGTGCAGGGGGAGGGGTGCGGGGAAACCCCACAAATGCACACCGTGTTTGGCCAGGGTTACTTCCATTTCTGGTTGCAGCCCATGTGGCCACTTTCTTTGCCTTCTGTCCAGGTTTGCTGCAGAGGGTCCCCCAGGACATGGCTGCTGAGTGAGCTCCTTGAGGAATCTGGGTGTTATGAACTCAGAAGCCTGAAGCCCCTGCTGCTGGGTCCTCACCCCACCCCAGGCCCTCTTGCTGCTCCTCCCCCAGCCCCAGGACTCCTGACTGGAACCAAGGGAGGGGTCACACTGCAGCAGACAAGGGCATAGGACCAGCCCCCACAGACTATGGAGTGACTCAGAAAGTGGGAACTAAGAACCTGATTTGACTGCCCCTGAGAAATACCTCACTGCCAAAAGTTTCAGAAACTTCCTGTGGGCGGGGCCATCAGAAGAGAGTGACTGAGCCTTTCCTGACATTGCAGACAGCTCACTTCATCACAGCATTCCAGAGAGTTCGCACTGCATCACAGCTGAGTCTGGGGAAGAAACCATGGAGATGGCAGTCACCAAGCTCATTTACTGCCACCTGATCCTGCTTCTCACTCTGCTGCCTGTCTGTCTGTGTGCAGGGCTGGATGGTGAGTTCTGGGGATTCAACAGCGCCTGACGGGGAGTTTAACTTGGCTGAGGGGCACATGTGGTTTGTCTGTGAGTTTCTGGGTTCCTTTGGACATTAGAGAAGCGGGGGGGGGGGGGGGGGGGGGGGGTGGCGACCAGTTAACTGTGTTTTGGGCTAGCCAGTGAGTTCCAGGATAAGACTGGGAGGGGAATCACAGAGGCACAGTGTGGGAAGACGGTTTCCTCAGCTCAAGACTCCTTATAGAGTCTCAGTGTTCCTTCTTGCCCTCACCCTAGCCCTTCTCCTGTATCCCCAAACTAACTCTCAGGCATTCTCTGGGCTCTTTGCTTATGAACTTCTTAGTGTGCTTTAATAGAAGATCACAGCACATGCAGCCAGCTTTTATATTGCTTTTGTTATGTTTAGCTTTGTCTCTTATATTTCTAAACTGTCCAGGACTTTTATCATGAAGCTGTGTTGGATTTTGTCAAAGGTTTTCCTGCATCTAATAAGATGATCAAGTACGTGACATTTTTCTTTCACTTTGTTTATACAGCGAATTACATTTATTTACTTTTGTATATGGAACCATTCCTGCATCTCTAGTATGAAGCCTACTTGATTGTGGTGGATGATATATTTGTTGTGTTCTTGAATTCAGTCTACAAATATTTTATTAATTATTTTTGCATCTATGTTCATAAGGGGCATTGGTCTGTAATTTTCTTTGCTGGGTCTTTATGTGGTTTGAGTATCAGGATAAAATGAATTGGGCAATGTTCCTTTTGTTTCTATTTTGTGGAATAATTTGAGGATTGTTGCTCTAACTTTTCTTGAAAAGTCTGGTAGAATTCTGAACTAAAACAATATGACCCTGAACTTTTTTGATTGTTTGCTTGTTTGTTTGGGAGACTTTTAGTGATTGCTTCTCTTTCACTAGGGGTTGTAGGTCTATTTAAATTGTTTATTTGATCTTGATTTAACTTTGGTAAGTAGTACCTATGGAGAAGGTTAATCATTTCTTTTAGATTTTCCAGTTTGGTGGAGCACAGTCTTTTAAAGTATACCTCTGTGATTCTCTGGATTTCCCTGGTGTCTGTTGTTATGTCCCCCTTTTCATTTCTAATATTGTTAATCTGGAAATTCCTTCTCTGACTTTTAGTTTGGATAAAGTTTGTCCATCTTGTTGATTTTCTCGAAGAGCCAACTCTTTCTTTCATTGATTCTTTATGTTGTTCTCTTTGTCTCTGTTTCATTGATTTGAGCTCCCGGTTTGTCTGTTTCTTGTAGTTTACTTTTCTTGGGTTAGTTTGCTTCTTTATGTTCTAGAACTTTCAGGTGTATTGTTAAATTGCTGTCTTCAGATCTCCCCAATTTCTTTATGTAAGCCTTTAGTGCTATGACCTTTTCTCTTCGCGCCGCTTTCATTTTGTCCTGAACATTTGGGTGTGTACTTACTTTCATTGTATTATAGGAAGTCTTTAAAGTCTTCCTTATTTCTGCCTTGGCCCACTTTTAATCCAGTAGAGAGTGGTTCAGTTTTCTAACTGCGTTTTTGAGTTTTGTCTTGTTTCTATTTTTGATGATAACTCACTTTAATCTGTGATGGTCTGATAAGTTACAGGGATTTATTTCAATTTTCTTACATCTGTTGAAAATCAATTTGTGTTCAAGTATGTGGTCAGTTTTGGTGAAAGTTTCAAGAGGTCCAATGAAGAAGGTCTATTCCTTTGTGTTTGGGTGAAATGTTCTGTAATTTCCCATAAGTCCATTTGGTTGATAGAGTCTGTTAGCTCCAGCATCTCTGTGTTTAGTTTTTGTCTGAATGACCTGTCATTAGTAAAAGTTTGGTATTGGAGTCTACCACTATCAGTATGCCAAGGTCAATATGTGATTTAAACTGTAATAGTGTTTCTTTTACAAACTTGAGTGCCCTTATGTTTGGGGCATAGATGTTAAGAATTGAAATGTTATCTTAGTGGATTTTTCCTTTGATGAAAATTTAGTGTCTATCTCTTTTGATTAGTTTTGGTTTGAAATCTATTTTGTTAGATATTAAAATAGCTATATCCACTAACTTTTTAGGTCCATTTTATTAGAATATCTTTTCCAACCATTTACCCTGAGTTAACGTCTTTGCTTGATGTTGACATATATTTCTTGGGTACAGCAGAAGGATGAATCCTGTTTTCACATCCATTAAATTAATCTGTGTCTTTTAATTGGGGAATTGACATCTTTTGTGTTGTAGATATCAATGACCTATGATTGGTGATTCTTGTTATTTTGTTGTTGCTATTGGTGGTGGTGCTGGTGCTGGTGGTAGTAGTGGTGGCAGTGGTATGTGTGTGTGTGTGTGTATGTGTGTCTGTGTTTGTGTGTGTCTGTATGTGTTCCTTCTTTTGGATTTCTTGTGTGGCGTTATTTATTTCTTATGTTTTCATTGGTGTAGTTAACTTCCTTAGGTTCAAGTTTTCTATCTAGTACCTTCAGATATGCTGGATTAGTACATATATATTGTTTAAATCATGGAACATCTTATTTTCTCTGTCTGTGGTGAATAAAGATTTTGTTGAGTATAGTAATCTGAAATGGCATCTCTGGTCTCTTAGAGTATGCAGGAAATCTGTCTAGGCTCTTTTGGCTTTTTAGAGTCTCCGTTGAGAAGCCAGGTGTAATTCTAATATGTTTGTCTTTATATGTTAATTGGTTATGTCTTTTTGCCTTGTAGCTTTTAATATTCTTTCTTTGTTCTGTAAGTTTAGTGCTTTGATTTCCATATGGTGAGGAGAATTTTTTTCTGGTCCATTCTGTTTGGTGCTCTGTATGCTTCTTGTACCTATATGGGCATCTCCTTCTTTAAGTTAAGAAAGCTTTTTTTTTTTTTTTCAAAAAAAAAAAAAAAGAGCCGGGCGGTGGTGGCGCACGCCTTTAATCCCAGCACTCGGGAGGCAGAGGCAGGCGGATCTCTGTGGGTTCGAGACCAGCCTGGTCTACAAGAGCTAGTTCCAGGACAGACTCCAAAACCACAGAGAAACCCTGTCTCGAAAAACAAAACAAAAACAAAAAAAAAGAAAGCTTTTTTTTTTCTGTGATTTTGTTGGAAATATGTTCTGATCTTTGAGCTGGAATTCCCCTTCCTCTACTCCTATTATTCTTAGATTTGTCTAGGCAGGACAGGAGGACTGTGACTTCATACAGGCTATAGCCACATGCATAACTCTTAAATCTTTGATTGAACTAGAGAGGTCCAGTGCTCATATTGAGGGCACCAAGATAGGTACCAGGTAATGTGACTATGGCAGCCTCTCTCCATCTATGCTATTTGTAGCCTTTTCCCAGGAAGCCTCTCCTGAACACTTAAGATCTGTGATGAATTTACCATGCATCCTTGATACCTCTTTCTTACTGTAAAAGGCATTCTCTCATCAGCCAGATTTGAAGCCCCAGAAGCACAGATACTAGATACTTTATTTTCTACCTAGGTATTTATTAGGCAAAGACACTTCAAGGGGTTGTCAGGCAGGTCCTACTGGTGACACTGTGAGCATCCTAGGGGTTCATGGTAGCACCAGATAATCTTGTCAGGCTAACACAGCTAAAGGTTATCCAGAACTCAGGATCTAGCTTTCCCAACCAGTGTACCCATGCAAGAGTCTAGGTTTACAGAACATGAGTCCTGTGGTCCTCTACTCTCTTTGGACCTTACCAGCTTGTGTTTTTTCTCACAGATACATACTATATTTATTTCAACTTCACTATCAAGGCTCGTTCCAAGCCCTGGTTTGAAGGGCAGTGCTCAGTGAATGGAGAACCTATCCTTCGGTATAATGAAAGTAATTTCACACCTTTGGGTGACCATGGAAAGGTGATATATAACACCAAAGCATGTACAGATTTCAGCCAACGTCAGAAAGACATTGGAGAAGAGATGAAAAATCTGATACTTAACATGAAACGAGAAGCAGACAAGATCATTGGTAAGAATGGGGCAGGATAGAAGTTATCAATAAGAAACAAGAAGGGCATACTGAGTGATGGTGGCAGCACATGCCCTTAATTCCAATACTCCAGAGCCACAGACAAGCAGAATCTTTAAATTCAGACCAGCCTGGTCTACACAGAAAGTTCTAGGACAGGCAGGGTTACACTGAAAAACCCTGTCTTGAAAAAAAAACAAAATGAAAACAAACAAAAAATCCAAAAGAAAGAAAGAAAATAAGAAAGAACAAGCAAGACAGTCAGACAGGAAGAAAGAGAGAGAGAATGAATGAATGAAAGAAAAGAAGGAAGGAAGGAAGGAAGGAAGGAAGGAAGAAAGAAAGAAAGAAAGAAAGAAAGAAAGAAAGAAAGAAAGGAAGGAAGAAAGAAAGGAAGAAAGAAAGAACAAAGAAAGAGTAAAGGAAAGCAGAATCAGGGCAGAGCACTTGCGGGAAAGGGACTGCTGAGGATTTGTATAAAGAACTTAATGTTGACACAACCTAGAAGTACTAGGTACCCTATGGGTAAGAAACAGGAAGCCAGGGGAGGAAAGAGTCCACGCCCCTAAGTGTATAGAGAAAGACTTGGCCTTGTAGGGTCTATAAGGGGTAGAAGATGATGGTTTTGTGTGTCATTTCCAGGCCCTCACACCGTGCAGGTCACTATGGAATCCCGATATGAAAAAGGAGAACTCACTGATTCCTCCTGGAAGTTCACCATGGATGGACAGAATTTCTTCTGCTTTAGTCCAAAGAACAAGACTTGGGGAGTGATGCATGAGGAAGCCAGAGGTATCATGGAGAAATGGGAGAAAAACGGAGATCTACAAAAACATCTAGAAAAGTTCTCCATGTGGGATTCCCCACACTGCTTCAAGGAATTCTTAGAGCTCTGGAAGGAAATGCCAAGTAAGAACTTACGTAGATTATCACAAGGAAACCTCTATGGGGTGGGAAAGTCTGTTGACTTCCCTAAGTAGACATCAGCCATGTGTGCATAATGGTAGATTTGATAGACTGAGTGATTTCTTGATAGTCTTCCTGCCTGGGGAGTCTGTTATGACCAAAGGGATCTCTCTCCCCCATCTCACCTGCCAATGTTTGTCATTCCTGTTAACCAATGGCCAGGCACTACATGGCCTGCTAATGATCCCCAAGTCTGTAGGCATCCCTATAAATGTTAACCCTTTCTTCCTCACTTACAGCTGTCCTTCCACCAGCTCCACATCAATTGAAAGACTTCACTATGTTTCACTGGCACAATTAAACACTACCAACTGACCTTACATCCAGAAAGTTCTACCCACAATAAATACATCACATTGTTTGATAGCTATTTGTTTTCTTTGGTAATGAAATAAACTCTGTAAGGACATCTTACACACACATCCTAGTCCTCTTTATGTAAAATCTGGTAAAATAGATATCACACAGGAGTCTCTAGGGATGCCTAGAGAGAGAGGTTGCTCATAGTGGTGTGTTTTCATCTTTATCCATACTTTTCCTAATGTTTTTATAGGTTCAACATCAAAGACACTAGATACCACCTGGTTTCCATCTACCACCCCACTTTCTTCTTCTACCACCCAGTCTCCATGTATTGCAGTGCATATCATCATGGGAGTCAGCTTCCTAGTCTTTATTTTGGCATGATTATGGAGAACTTTGGTACCCAAGAAGGTAAGGAGCAGCCTGGGCTCTCACTCCTGTCTTTGGTAGTATTAGTCTGGTAAGGATATAGGAGAGTGGTCCCAATGGACACAGCCAAGCCACTGTCCACCACAGTGCCTTTCTATCCACTTGAATAATGATGAATGCCTCTTTTTAGCCTTAAACCCTCACTTTACAGTAACGTAGGCGATGACTATTGTTGAGGTACAGTAGGTCAGGAGAGTCAGCATGAGCATGCAGTCACAGGAGGTTTAAAACAGTAAAATTCCCCTGAGGTAACAGAGAATTCAGCAACCAAGGATGCAAATAAGACACAAGGAAAACTGGAATGGGGTGTTGCCTCCTCATAATCTAACAAAAGGTTCCCTCAAGACATTGATTAATATCTGTTTGCTTTCTGAGGATGACATTATGCTCTTTAACCTCATAGAAGGATCTATTACCTGCTGTGTATGCCCTACACCAGGAGAAACAGCGTTGTTAGAGCAATCCTTGATTGCAGTCTGACTTTTTTCCTTCAACTTTATTCTGTGTGTGTGTGTGTGTGTTATATGCATCTGTGCATTTTGTATGCCCCCGTATGCACAATAAAGATGACAAAAGGAATCCACCATACTGCCCATGCGACAAGGTCTCTTACTGACCTGGAGCTGGGCCTGCAGCCCTCAGGCTCCATTGATCCTCCTGCTTGTACCTCCTGAACCCCTGAAATTACAGGCACACCCACCCACCACCAGCTTTTGACTGGGCTTGGGAATTGAAATCAGGTTCTCATGCTTGCATAGCAAGTCCTATACCAACTAAGCCATATTCCCAGACCCCAAATTGAAGTCTGTTGATAGTCTGTCTGCCAGCCCAATACATAGCTTCAGCTCAGACACCAAGAGTAGCCAACAACTGAATGAAACAAGCTCCCTAAAGCCTCACTTGCGTGACCTCCTGCCATGCTCCTTGGAGACAGACCCTTGCCTTGTATCTACTTAGCACTTACGAATGGTTTGTAAGAGATATTTGCTCACAGTCAGTTAGGACCGCCCACTGCACTCAGTCTTCCACAGTCCCACCATGTTAGATGTAGTTGGAGTGGTGGTGATTTTTATTTAAGGTGATGTATTTATCACAGCTGAGTGGGACAACACTCCTTTCTCTGTTGTCACTGATGGGCAGAAACCACAGTCAACTGTGCTAACTCACCAAATACCACAAGAATGAGATGAAGTGAAATATGAATTAGCATGCTCTAGATTCTTTCACAGAAAGGATGAAGTATGATATATCTGTCTGCAGACAGAAATGTAAAGGACCATCCCAAGTTCTGTTCTAGCACCACCTGGGTGGATCACACCCCTCACCCAGAGCCCACTTGTCACGCTCAGCCTCAGTAAAGCTCAAGATTGCCACGTCATCCTCGTTCCCACAACCCAGCTTCTAAAGTCTGTTTCTCTGGCAACGGTCTCATGTGTTGAGCCTGTTAGTGTCACAGCAGAAGTAGGAGAAACGTCTAGAAACTGTGATGTGCTGCTCCACAGCAGGGTGACCAGAAGGACCCAGGCCCACAGTTTACCCAGTACAGAGGGTTTTTCAGTATATTGCAAAGGCGCTTAATAAAGTCATTTCTCAAGGCAGTTTATCAGTTTTGTCCATGGGTGTTTAAAATTCCGTTTTCTTTACCTAAAGACATGGACATATGTGTAGTATGAATGAGTACATGGTGCAGACGCACATAAAATTTTTTCAGAATTTTGTCTTTGGGGGCTGGAGTAATAGCTCATCTATTATCAACACTTACTACTCTTGTAGAGGACCCAGGTTCAATTCCCAGTACACACAGGGCAGGGTACAATCACATGTAACTTTAGGTCCAAGAGATCAGAGCCACTCTTTCAGTGTCTATGTATTCCTGTTTAAACGTGTTGCACGGAAATACACTCACAAGCACAAATATGCACATAAAACAAAAACATAACTATTATTTTTTTAAAAAACCATTGAGATTCATGTCTGATAGTGAGCATCTGAAGACTTATAGCAATTTTGTTTCTTGCCTTTTTATTAGCAATATGTTTCATTTAACCAACTATCACTTAAATGTGACCTTAACATAGAATCAATGCAAAACACAAATAAGATATTTTACATCCTTTTTCTTGTGGCTGGAGAGATGGCACAGAAGTTAAGAGCACTGGCTGATCTTCCAGAGGTCTTGAGTTCAACCCAGAAACCATATGGTGTTGGCTGACGACCTTCTATAAAGGAATCTGGCACCCATTTCTGGCACCCATTATGTATACATAATAAATTAACAAATCAATAGATCTTTGAAGAGACTACAGGACTGTGAAGAAGATTGCATGTGGGACACTGGTCCATACCCTGTCAATTGTATTTTAATAAAATGCTGATTGGCCAGTAGCCAGACAGGAAGTAAAGGCTGGGGTACCAGGCAAAAAGTAGAGGTGGGGCAACGAGAATTCTGGGAAGAGGGAAGTTTCAGTATGCAGTCCTGATCCAGCTGCAGAGGAAGCAAGGTGTGACTGCCTAACTGAAAAGGGTACCAAGCCACATGGCTAACATATACAAGAATTATGGGTTAATTTAAGTTATAAGAATTAGTTAATAAGAAGAGCCTGAAATACTGGGCCAATCAGTTTATAATTGATGTAGATCTCTGTGTGATTCTTTGGGACTGGATGACTGCAGGACCAGGCAAAGCAAACTTCAGACAATTGTCAGTGTCCTAAGTATTTCAATTGATCTAAAATTTCCCCTGTAAGTATGGGGTAGTAAAAAGATTCACATCTAATATCAGTTGACATGTTAGATTTTAAAGGTAATATAATTATTTTGGAATAACTCTATTGCATAGAAAGAAAACTGTACCTGGATATTTAGTCAGCCTACAATTCCAATATGTGAAAAACTGAGGCAGGAGAATTGCTTCAAGTGTTCAAGCATGTCATAGATTATATAGTAAGTTAAAGGCAAGATTTAACTGTAAAACAAAGTCCTGTCCTCAAATATAAATAAATAAATAAATAATAAATAAATAAATAAATAAATAGTTAAAAGGCCAGCAAAGACAGAAATGCAGGCATATTTTGCTGGTCTTTTACATTTGCCGGTTTTTTTAGGTTTGCTAATTTTTATTTGCAATCTATTTTTAAATGCATATATAGCCAAGAAACAGAGGAAGTCTTATCATAGCAGAGCTTAGAATGACATAAAGATCTAGAAGGAAAGATGAAAGAGAAAAAGGATGTGGGACTGAGTTCTATGGTCTGAAAGGTTGGGGAGTGTCAGAAATGAAGGAGAGTGGGTTGCTGTAAGTGGATGCCCAGGAGCCCACTATAATTCACACCCTTTTTGTCAATAGGTTCTCCCTGCTGCTCCAGTCTTCATCACCAGCTGTGTTGGGTGACTCTTGAACATTGCCTGTGACTTCTTCAGCAAACCAAACAAACATATTTCTGATGACATCCCTGAAACCTGTACTGGTGACTTCTGACCAACCTTGTGGGAAACCCTGAGAGCGATGGTCTGGGAGCCTCACTCACCAGGGCATCTGAGTCAACAGTGTTGCCATCAGGGGCTTCTTCTTGCTTTGCTTCTTTTCCTTTCTTTCTTTCCTGATAGCTTTGTGGAGGTCAAGCTGGGCCGGGCTGCAAATTACTTCTCACTGTATAAAACAGTGACTTGCCCTGGCTGTCTAGTTTACAGGCAGCAGTTGGCACCTTTCTGAGAACAGTGCAAAGGCTGAATGACCCCTTACTTGGCACAGACACATTCTGCAGACCAGAACTGATATAAATGTTTTAGTGAGGAATGAGTTACAAAGAGATAGCTCAGTCCTGGAGTGCTTGTCCTCTCCAGCATGAGGAGCTGAGTTCACTCCCCAGAACCCACGGACACCATGGTGACACACACTTATAAACCCCGTGTAGGGGACAGAAGGAGAAGTGCGTACCTGGGAATTCCTCATCAGCCAGACTAGTGGAACTGGTGATCCAGGAGAGACAGGATCAAAACACAGTGCTCATGGCTGAGGAATGACACCAGAGTTAAAGCTCTGTCTCCATAGGAACAAGTACGTGAACGAGCACACACGCATGTGTATATGCTCACATGAAAATGATAGACACTGTGGACCAGATCACAGCCAGTAAATTCTCATGAGGCAGTACTGCTGAGAGGGAATTGGGGTTGTAAATACTAGTTACGAGATATTACTTGGCCTTGTCTTCTGGGCCAGTTTTATGTTCATACGAAAAGGGGACAGCACATGTCTTCTTAGATGAGTTTCGTAGCACCATGGCGGATTCATAACTTGACATAAGGACCTCAGGTTACAGTTACTTATTAGCGTCTGGATGTGTATGACGGTATGTTGCATCAAACATGCACTGAAAGAATTAATAAAAATCCGCAAGAGACTCTCAGGAGTGATCTGTTTGAGCCTCTGCAGGTGCAGCGCTATTACCTCTCGTCAGACGAATCCCCAAGATACAGGTCTCAACTTAATTACCGTTAGGGGGATGCGCAGGACCTGAGAGGAGCTGGTCCAGACTTCTCCCATGGCCTTGCATCCTGTGGAAGAAGTTTAAGATGAACTTAATCACCTGTTTAATAACTGGAACTAATCCTGAGAACATGGAGTCAGAGGTGGAGCTGTCCTTATCCTAGTATTCAGTGACAGCCTTGATCGTCTGCCCCAATGATATACTGAGACAAAGGAGTCTCTGCCTCTAATGAGAGGTCAGTACGAAGAAAAAGGCTAGTGTGAAGGCATCAGACAGCTGATAGGTAATTCAGGATCATAAATAAGAATTAATTAGTATTCAGAGCGCAGTTCTACCAGCTGAACCAAGTCATGGTGAGACTACTGGGTGCAGCTGGTAGAGTTTTAATTTTATATTATTTATAGTTGTACATTTTTGGCAAGTGTTTGAGAGCATAAAGGGAGCCAACAGCTTCTTTTCCTTGTTGGCAGTTGTATCTCCTTAGGGGCTACTTTTAGGGGTTGGAGAGTTTTAGGAGCCATGTCTCCACTCTTTGCCGTCTGATGGTCAAAGGGTCTTTTAGTGTGACATGACCCAAAACTCAAACTCCAGGGTCTTCATAGCCTCTCTGAGGCTATGAGATTCCTTTAGAGCTGTCCCATTGTCCTCTACCCTGGAAATGGCCAACCTGAAGGAAGATGAACATATTGGCTCTCAGCCTAGCCCTTGATCCTCATTGTTTTGGGTTTCTAGAAATCTCAAAAAATCAGTTACCCCAGATCTAATCTGTTATGTCACTTTCAGGGGTGAACACCTCACGGCCCGGGATACCCTAAATGTGGCCAAATCAAATTCAGGGACTTTAGTAAAATATTATGGGACAGTTTCGCAAAGATTTTTAGATCACTGAACTGTATGGTGACTTACGTAGATTGTCCAGTGTGAACTATTTAGATCCCTTTGTGTCGCGATATCAAAAGATCGGACACTTCTGATAATAAATGTTGACAGAGACAAATTTTAAATCAATCTTGACTCAGATAAGACCCCCATTAATGAGAAGTTAAAGTTCTGACAATCACAGAAGAAATTACAAGCAGTTATCTTGAGAAACATAAATGCAATTAAGTAAGCTTTTAAAAAAAATCCATACCATTTTAAATTAACTATCACAACTTGTGACATATGAAAGCTTCTGCTTTTTCCCGATCTTTTAACAATCGTTTAGGATGAAATTAATATATCATGAAATTCTGACCCATAAGCACATGCTCTCCTTCAGAAATGCGTCTCTGTGCCTTCATGGAGCCATTGCTGCCTCTTTCTTGGCTGTTTCCAGGCTTTGTTAATTCCTGCTGTGATTTGGGCTTCTTTTTATTGAAGCAATAAAAACCTGAAAACTTCATCCTGTTTTCTCTTTTACAAAATAGGTTCAGACACACAGTATTGTCAAGTTTTTCCCTGCCCTTGCTTAATGTGCTTTTTTCACACTTTGCTGCAATAACCTGGTGATGTTGTCTGTATAATGCTGATATTTCCATTTTTCTTCATAAATTTAAAATAATCCAATATGTTAGATTTGTCTGTATCTTCTGAATTAAAAGAAATTTGGACTAAGCTTTCATAGTCTCTTGCTTACTTACCAGTCAATTTAAGCTAGATCCTTTGAGGAATGGACTTTTTCATGTAAACACACCTCATAGCATCTACCTGGAGGTTAGGAACAAATACATCAAATCAAAGACACCTAACCCCATCCCTGAAGTCTAGAGTACAAGTCATGTATGCTGTGGGAGTGGGTAGATCTGGAGAAGTGACTCAAGCTATTTAGAAGATTATAGAAAGTTGTGAGTAGAATCCAGACAACGGCTACTGAGTTATTTATAGCTGGAGTTTAATTTTGATTTGTTTATATTATGATAGGGCCCTAATTCTTCCCTCTTGAAATAAAGAAGTGTTTAACTTAATTTTTATATTTATAGAACCTTACAATTATGGACTTTGAATTTTTAAAAGAGAATTTTGATTTTTAACAAGATTCTAGATTTTTGCAGAGACTAAACTTTTAAAGTGTTTGAATTAGTAAAGACTGTGGAACTTTTAAAGTCATTTAGGTTTTTATACTGTGATGTTAATTTTAAAATTCCACCATGGGGTTAAATGAGAAAAAAAAAAGGTTCTCACTGAAAAATGTTTTTAGGGCTGGAAAAATGGCTTAATGGTTAAGAGCACTAGCTGCCCTTCCAGAGGTCCTGAGTTCAATTTCCAGCAACCACATGGTAGCTTAAATCTATCTGTAATGAAATCTGATGCCTTCTTCTGGTCTGCAGGTATGCATACAGGCAGAACACCTTATATGCAATAATAAGTAAATCTTTTTTAAACAAAAAAGAAAGAAAAGGGTTTTGTCAAAAAAAAAAGTGTTGTTTTTGTGTTAGGCTGACAAGGGTTCAGTTGGACTGGCTAGTTTTATTTCTAAACTTGAGAAAACCAGAGTTTCATCTCTAATTTTCTTTTGGTTGTGGTGTTTCATCATAGCAATAATTACCCCAACTAGAGGAAAAAGGGTCTTGCCATCCTGAAGAGAACAAAAACCTGATTACCCACAGGCCCTTGCATCAGGATGCCTGTCTAGAAGTGAAAACGGCAGACACAAATGCTGTCAGCAGGCTTTCTGCCCCTGCCACCTGGAATAACAACTGTGCAGAGAGAGCCAGTAAAGAGAGAGAGAGAGAGAGAGAGAGAGAGAGAGAGAGAGAGTGTGAGAGAGAGAGAGAGAGAGAGAGAGAGAGAGAGAGAGAGAGAGAGATGAGGACATGCTCACAGTATGTTCAGACCTCCCAAAATGAGCTGTCACTGTCCCTTCATCATAGTAGGGCACATATTAAAAATAAATTAGCCCTTAACCCTTGCAGAGAAGTCTGAGAGTCACTCCTAAGCTTCTATCATGGCTTGCCCTGACCCCTAAGAAATGGAGGTGATCCTGACTCCAGCCTGCAGGCCTCTGGGTCTCACTGGAAAGTCTCCCCAGACAGAAATCTTCATCTGTCCATGGAGTGCTCCATCAACCACCACAATCAACAGACCAAAGAGAGAAGAGCTTCCCTAAATCATGGGGCAAAAGCTTTTGTTAGACCAAGTATCTGTATCACCCCATCAAAGAGTTAGGAACTACCTCACAGAAGGGGAAGAAAGGATGTAAGAGCTAGAAGGCTGGAATGTTGTGAAATGCTGTTTTCCAGCTATAACAGATCTGCTGCACTGCTGAACTCTCAGCAGCTCTGAGAGCTTGTACAATCCCTGCACAGAGCACGCCTGTCAGCCTTCCCTTCATGGAGAGAGGGGTCTGGGGACATAACTATAATTAATGGTGCTGGAGAGGGACAGACATTTTTAATCAATCGTGTAGCCATTCTTAAGATGCCCACGTTCCTGTACTTAACCCTCTCCCACACTTCTATAATTGTAATTAAATTAATTGAGACACATATATGTGCTTGTGCGTGCACGCGTGCACACACACACATACACGTGAACCAACTCTACCTTAAAGAGAAGGGGTCTGGTGGGAGTGGAAATTAGAGGGTAATACAAGGGTTAATATGGTTGAAATATTATGTTATACATTTATGTAAATGTCATAATGAAAGAAATTATTTTGGTGCCGTCCTCTGCAAATTGTTTCATGACACAGGTCACATACACATAGAGAACATATGCCAAATCTGTACCAATATTAATGCTCATCCCTGTCCTTGCTGAATAATCCTTATGAAAGCAACTAGGTGAGCATCTTGCCTAACATGGAACTACCCAGAAGGAGCTCAACTCTAACCACAAAGTCCTGTGTCCTGACTTCCATGAAATGTCTTCCAGGGTAGGGATCTGGCAGTAAGGCACCCAGTGTAACATCTGACAAGGTCTATAGTAATCTCCGTAGTGTGGAAGAGACAGTCAGACACTTTTGTCGTCTGAGAGTCACTGGAAGGCCCTTTGACAGATTTAAGGGCCTGGAGGGTTTTGACGTGAACTAAAGCTTGTTATTTGGAAAACTGACTGTAAGGTCTTAAAGCATTATGTCCCCAAGTGACCCAGGTCAGGTGAGCATCCCTTTTGGTGACTGGTAAAACTTTTTGTAATGTTGTTCATAATATTGTATGAGTACGTGGTTACACTTTTCCTGTTGAGATGACTGTTCTTGGTTTCAATTTGACTACATCTGGAATTAACTGAAAAACAAAAAAGGCCGGGCAAGCCTGTGAGGAATTCTTTGATTAATTTGATCCTTTTTGAGTTGTAAGATCCACTTACAATCTTGTTCTTAGAGGTGAGAAGTCACACCTTTAATCCAGATCTTTGGATTAAATCTAATCTGGGCACCACACCTCCTCCTGGAAGCCCTGTATAATGACATGGGAAAGGAAGATTTTGTGCTTTCGCTATTGTACTAGCATCAAGAAGCCAGCCCATTTCTTCACTGGCACGAGAGCCTACCAATCAGAATTGTAGCATATACTGAAGATGAGCTGAGACAACCATCCTCGTGGGTGGAGAAACTTCTGTATTCTTGGTCTTACCATTCCCAGCCAGGCATTTTTGGCATAACTGGACCACAGCCTGTAAATCATTCTAATAGACCCCCTTTTTTATGTAGAGAGGGATTCATTCTTTAAGTTCTATTGCTTTAGAGAACCATGACTGATAAGTCTATCACATGTTTAAGATCATGTAGGGGCTACAAGTTAACCCCTTTGTGATATGATCAGTTGAGCTCCCTTAGGGTTTATTTTGGGGGACTTAGGAAAACACCATTGCCTCCATTAATTTTCCTCACTTGACAGTGCCCTCGGTTGAAATGGGTTAGGATGTTACTGTCTGTGTGGCTTCCTTGAAAGCACTGAAGCCATTTCTCTCTGTGATGACTCATGACTCTCTTGCAAAGTACTTGGTGGTTCACGTTCAACCTCTGTCATCTTTATGATCGAGAGGACAGATGGCTTATTGGAACCATGGCTGCTTTTGTCCTCTCCCATTGTTCCTCGGTCTCCTGGGACCTGGATGACCTAAGAGCAAGGGGCAAAATTATGCCTATTGTCTTAGCCCCACTGTCTGACCAATATCAGCCTTCAAGTGTGGACTGAAGGAACCTAATTTCACTCACACAAGTCTTGAGGAACAGACAGTCCTCTGAAATCCAGCCATCATAGAGCACTTAGACCTCGACCAAAGGTAATTTGCCTCTGTTGAGTCAGGCTCTCATCTCGTAGCTCTAGTTGGCTGGGAGTTTTTTAAGTAGACAAGGCTGGCTTCAAATTCACAAAGTTCTGCCTGCCTTTGCCTCCCAAGTACTTGGATTAAAAGAATAAGCCACACACCTGTTCTTTAAGCCTCCTAAAAGCAAAGTTTCATACACATTTGTTGTGAGGTTTCCACCAGAGAAGACTGCTCAGACATGGGTTTCAATAGTGAGTTTTTAATAGCCAACTGACACTTACACTGGGTATTTAGAAGCCTAGTGTAGCCTCTTTCAGGATATTTTTTATGTACAAAAACCATGTCCTGAGTTGACACATGTAACAAGAACAGTTAGCCAAAGCAGAACTACAGAAACCAAAAAGCAAGGTAAGTACATTTAGAGACTTAACCCAGAACTATGGACTTTGGTGGATTAGGCCTTTGTTTTACTTTTGACAGGTGCTGATGTCCATATTTTGAGGTTCACAGCCTGAATGGTACTTCCATCATGAAGTCAGTTGTGCTAAGATCTGGGTGCCCACTAAGATATGGGGACCTGTTACAACATTCTTGTGCCCTCCTTTTACGTGCCTTTTTCCTGATCCTTTTCTCTTACTTTCAGTAATCTTTATTTTAGGATAGAACTCATTCAAAACCCTTTCTTACCAGAAACAATTTTATTTTTGTCAATAATGTGTCTTCTACACATGGAACACACACGCATACACACACACACACACACACACACACACACACACACACACACACACACACATGTAGTGATAGGAGTGGTGGGCTGCAACCCGGCTCCCGGCTAGCTTTACCCAAAATGATTACATGGAAACTGTATTCTTTTAAACACTGCCTGGCCCATTAGCTCTAGCCTCTTACTGGTTAACTCTCACATCTTGATTAACCCATTTCTATTAATGTGTGTAGCACCACGAGGTGGTGGCTTACTGGGAAGATTCTAACCTGCGTCCATCTCGGAGAGGAGAGCTATAGCATCTGACTCACTTCCCTTCTTCCCAGCATTCTGTTCTGTCTTCCCTGCCTACCTATGTTCTGATCTATCAGGCCAAGCACTTTTCTTTATTAATTAACCAATAAAAGCAACAGATAGATATAAGACCCACTTACATCACACACAAATGTGAACACATACAAACACACATTACTTCATATGTATCTTTCTCTAGTTACTGGTTTTTGTTTCCTT